GAAATTAACAGAGCTCGGCCTGACCCAAAACTAATGTTGATGTCTGAACCTGGCTCCCCCACATCGGCTTTGGAAGGTTGACTATCTCAAATTCTCCTGGATGTTATGTGAACAAGACGCTCTCCTCCCCCCTCTCCTCCCCGCTCCATTCCCCAAGAACATGGACCGGTGTCACAGCTCTACCGATAAACACTGCATCATCTTTCATCAGGACAATGGCTCCCGGGGGATCTGGACAGTTCCCCCTCAAATTCACTGGCTTCACTGGCACCCCTCATTTGACCCCCCCCCCCCCCCCCCCCCCCGTGCATCAACCTAGGTAGATGTGAAAGCGCCAGTGGCTGCATCACTCACTTGGGCGACCTGTGCTGGGACCCCCACCCTCACCCACTTCACATGCAAATGTCTTGATGCCCTTTTTGTTGTTTTGTGCTGGGGGGGGGGGGGGGGGGGTTGCAGTCTCACATTGTGTCCTGTTAGAGACACAGTGTGAGGTATGATTTTTTTAACCTCCTCTACCCTCGTGTTCTCCTTTTTCTAATGTAACGAAAAAGGAAGCACCTCTCAGTGAGGCTGCAGCCGCAGACACTCCGTCTACCCTGTCTGTAGTTTGTGTTTCTTCGAACGGGCTGTAAGTTCGTTGTGCTTCGGTGCAGTGACAACAAAGTTCATTCTGATTCATCAGAACCAGGCTCAGGACAAGCGGCCATCTGCTTCAACTGGCTGGGTTTGGTAGGAACAAATACACAACAGGGCGGCTGTGGCTGAGTGGTTAGAGCAGTCGTCCTCCAATGCAAGAGTTGGGGGTTCGAATCCAACAGCAGTCACATGCCAAAATGTCCATGGGCAAGACACTGAACCCCTCGTTGCCTCTGATGTGTGTCCCATCAGATATGAATGGGATGAAGCTCTGATTAATCTCTTTAGAATGATTTGTTCAATTAGCTTTGTACAGATCTAGTATAGAGCTGGATGAATGAGGCTCAGATTGTTGTAAAGAGCTTTGAGTGTCTTGATAAGATAGAAAGGTGTTATAACTACAGTCCATTTACAATGGCAGGTCAAGAATCACGTTAAGATAGAAATAGTATCAAATGAAAACTATTCCATTTTAACAATTCATTTAAGGACATGAGGTCAATTTGTCCTCTAGTAGTCTAAGTCTATAGCAGCATAACAAGCTGACCCTAACTATAGGATTTATCAAGAAGTTTTAAAACTGGACAATGTGTCAGCCTCATGGACAGAAACTGGAAGTTGGTTCCACAAGAGAGGAGCCTGAGAACTGGAAGATCTTCCTCCCATTCTTCTCCTGGAAACTCTAGGAACCACAAGTAAACCTGCAGTCTCAGAGTGAAGTGCTCTGTTAGGAAAATATGGAACAATAAGATCTGTAATATAAGATGGAGCTAGGTTGTTGAGAGCTTTGTAGGTTAGAAGTAAGATTTTGAATTCTATTCTGGATTTGACAGGGAGCCAATGGAGAGAAGCTAAAACTGGAGAGA